TTGAACCTAGGAAAAGCCTCCGATTTCTGCTTGAGATTGTACACAAAAATATATCTAGAAAATGCATCAATGAGAACCATGAAGTATCTATTTCCACCCAAAGAGGGCGCTAGTGGTCCAACCAAATCAGCATGAACAACCTGGTATGGTTCTGTAGCTTTCCTACTAGACACCTTACCTTTCGCAGCCATTTTCACCTTGTTTGCTGCGCATGCTTTGCACTTCATGTGGTACCTGCAGGGTTTAATAGTCATACCTTCAACCAAGGCAGGCATTTTAGATACTGCCTCAAAATGCAAATGACCAAATTTTCGATGAAAATCGTGAATACATTCTGCATGCAAACTTTTGTTAGAACCTGCAATGCAACAAGTGTCATCCTGCACCACATCATCATAATACAAAACAAACAAATGATCAACATATTCTGCATGCAATACATAATCATTTTTCTTTGTGATGATGCACTTCTTGTTCTTGAAGGAAACGTCAATGTTCCGCTCATTCAGCTGTCCAACGCTGAGCAGATTATGTTTGGCGTCTGGCACGTAAAGCACATTCTGTATCGATAAGTCCAAACTGTGAAGAACAACAGTTCCGTAGCCTTTACTGGGAATAGTGTGGTCATCCGCCTGGTGAATCGCACCTTCCTGCGGTGTAAAAGACACAAACAGTTTCTTATCGTTGCACATGTGGTGGGTGGCCGCTGAATCAACAACGAAGAAAGATCTAGACGTCTTCTGGACCTCTGCAACCTTTGGAGTGAAGCGTGAAACCATAGCCTTGTGCTGCGTTGTCCTAGACACCGGACCTTTGCCTTTGCCTCGGCCTTTTCCGCGCGATGAGCTTTCGCTGCGCTGCTCTGTCTTGGCCCTGGGATGTCTGCATCCCTCTTCATATGGCCTAGACGTCCACACGAGTAGCATTTCACTGCCTTCAGAGCTTTGGCGCCATCTGGTGGTTCCACTGCACTATGGGATGACGTCTGTGATGACTCCCCCTTGCCCATGCAGCTAGCACCCCGGCGATCTGCTTCATTTAAAATCACGGCAGTAACAAAGTCCACTGTCAGCTGAGCAGTTGGTTGCACAGCAATCTGGGTTGCAACAGACTCCCAACCTGAACCCAAAGATTGTAGTATCATGAAAGAATACACAGCCTCTGGAAAGTTGAGTCCTCTCTGTTGCAGCTCATGTCTCAGATTTTGCATCTCCATTAGATGTAAACGCACATCTCCACCTTCAGCAAGAGCCATATTATGCAGCTTGTTAAAGTAAAACATAGTGGATCCAGCTTCTGTCCTTAAGTGAGCCTCTCTCAGAGCGTCCCAAATTTCTCTGGCTGAGGTCTTATCACGCAATAGACAGAGCTCTTCTGGGGATACTATCAATGTAAGAGTTCCCCTTGCTTTGGAATCCTTAGCTTCCCATGCATCTGTAACTGGAACTGGGGGTTCCTGTAATCACCTCAAACAAACCCTCTTTCCGCAGAATTGCCTCTGCATACTGAACCCAGTCGCTGTAATTTTTCTTGTTGAGCTTAGGAATCCTACAAGCATCCTGAAGGGCCATCATGACTCTGGCATTAGCCTTCAGCGTCATATGCTGCTTTAAATCTTGCTGCGTCACTGCTGCAGCTGCCTCATTACAAAGGCACACTTAAAAGTTACTTCGATTTCCCAGCATAGTGACTTGTGCCTGGGAGCCTTTTGCCTATTCCCGGCAAAACCGGCTTTAAAAGTTCAAAGTCCAGCCATAAAGCCATTAACTTGAAGCTGGCAGGCTGCCCGGAGCAGTAGCACATACCTCATCAATCACTTCTACGCGCAGAGCAGATTCCTTTCCGATCCGTCCCTCTGCATTCCGATCCTTTGCCGGCACTCCGATTCGACCTCTGGAGCCCATAACCACGTGTTGATTTAAAGCAGAGTCTCTGGTGCCCAGCGGAAGGATGAGCAATACGTGCTACATACTCTATATTGCTTTATTTACAGTTCAAAGCTGGTATATTACAGAAAGACATCTTGCCTCTGCAAGAGCAGAAAATGCATCCTCTCTCCTCGACAGCTTGGAGAGAATCACACAGTGAAAAAACAGGAAACCAGTGTACGTCACATCCAGTCTCCCTTTCCCGTGAGAAACTCCAACAGTACAGACTGTGGAATGTAAACACCTGTCTCATGACAAGCAGAGCTGCACAGTGAAGGAAAGCAGAAACCAACAGTGCCAGGGTGCAAAGTTCCACCCAGCGCCCCCCCAAAGTTGCCCAGAGTTGTCGACCGTTTTTTAGGGGGGCGGACCCCAAAGTTGTTGACATTTTAAAGGAAAGGTTACCCAGGGTTGTCAACCTTTTTTTACGGAGCTGATACCACTCTTAAATCTGCTCAGGAAAAGAAAACAGGAAACATAAGGAACCCAGCACATCAAACCAGCCCAAGGCATCGGTGTTGGCGACTGAGCGAAGCCAGGTGCCTCATGGTGTAAGCAGCATGCACTGGGAGGGCCTCTCCACAGCCCTACGCCAATCCCAGGCCCACAGGAGGGCAGAGCTGGCTGGCTGCCTCAGTGCCTCGCTAGCTTGCTCACTCCTGAACTCGCAGCGCAGAGCCACCTGCAGCAGAAGAGCCCGTCACAGTGCTCCAACCAATGGGTGGGCTCTTCCCTGGACTCCAACTCTCGGGCCCCAGACTCTCGGTCTAGCGCCCCTGAGAGCCTGGCGCCCGGGTGCCCTGCACCCCTGGTGCCTATGGTTAAGACGGCCTAGCTTTGACCCATTTCCCCATCAGCAGCAAGGGGAAGCCATTTTGAATTCCCTAAATCGTACAGGAGTGGTGTTAGACTGGGGCATTGTGAAACATTAAAATAGCAGCTGAAAAGAGGGCTGGTCCTACGATCTGCTCAACTTGCCCAGGAGATAAAAGGGGACCCAGCTGTGGACACATCGCCAAGAGTCCCCACAAAACTGGAGCTGTTACAGCCCATACGTTTATATCCATCCATGTCAGGGCTGTCAGGCAGGCGGGATCATCCACAGGCCAGAATGAAGACTCGATACTCAATGAGAAGTCAGCATTTTAATTCAGAAAAGGGAAACACAGCAGAGTTCACCCGGGTTCAACTGCCCTAGTTGAAGATGTTGCTGGAACTGGCATCTGGCCCTTCCTTCCCTCTCTAGCCCTCTTCTTCTGGCCTCCTCCCAAGAAGACATAAACCATGGTGAGGAGGAGAGACCCCCTCTGGGCTTGTCTGGCAAGGCTCTTTGCGATCTTGGTGTCAGTGGAGGAGGGGGGGCCAACTGTAGAAGGACTGGCCCACTGAGGTGAAACTGAGGCAGCATCCAGCTCCTCTCTGTCAGAGTCAAACTGAGACCCTTGGCACTCAGCCCTGTCCCTGAATGGCTTTCTTCTTCTGACTCCCCTGCTTCTGCTTCCTCCCAGCTTGTCCTCTCCTCAGACGGGTCCCCTGTGTCCCACCACCAGTGTCCTGCATCTAAGTTCTCTTCCTCTGTGTCATTCTTGGGGGTTTCTTTGGCCAGCATCTCTCACCATCCTTCATTATCCAGCCAGTCCCTGACATCCCAGGACCTTCTTAGTACAGTAAGGCTGTGGCCTTGGGAAGAAGGGTTGTTCTTTATTAAACGAGTTGGAAGAGTGTCACACAGCTACTTTATGGTTGTGTGGCTCCGAATCCACATCGAGAAGGTCCAATACATCTCATGACAGCGGGGAAGGGTGTGACCAGGTGAGCTATGTACCTGCTCAGCCTGTCCAGATCTGATGAGAAACTTCAAGGCCCCAGACTGATGCATCCCCTCCAACATTTCTCCCATGAAAATAGGAACGTCCTATTCAGTCATCACAATACAGTGGTACCTCAGGATAAGTACTTAATTTGTTCCGGAGGTCCGTTCTTAACCTGAAACTGTTCTTAACCTGAAGCACCACTTTAGCTAATGGGGCCTCCTGCTGCTGCCACGCCGCCCAAGCACGATTTCTGTTCTCATCCTGAAGCAAAGTTCTTAACCTGAAGCACTATTTCTGGGTTAGCGGAGTCTGTAACCTGAAGCGTATGTAACCTGAAGCGTATGTAACCTGAGGTACCACTGTAATTTTATTTATACCCTGCCCGTCTGACTGGGTTGACTCTAACATATACAAAAACATGATAAAACATTAAATATTTTTTAAAAAACTATACACAGCTGTCTTCAGATGTCTCCTAAAGGTTGTCTAGTTACTTGTCTCCTTGGCTCGGGGGTCCAACCCCTCCAACATTTCTCTGATGGAAATAGGAACATCTTAAGGAAAAGCAGGACCTTCTGGGATCAAATCGGAAACTGGGATGGCTTCTGTAAGTCCAGGACTGTCCCTGCAAAATGGAGATGCTTAGAGGGTCTGAAGTAGGACACATGGGTGTTGCAACCCACATTGCAGAGGAAGCTGGGTCTAAAATCCAAGACGGGTGGATTGCAGGGTTGGGCCGCAGCAATGCGGTGCCGACACAGTTTTTGTGTGGTAGGAGAAAAGCGTAGCAACACACTTTCTAATTGCCATATGGTTTGGAAGGAGCTGGAATTAAGGCAGGGGCTGAGGAGGATTGGATGGCAGTGTTAGCAAGCACTTTCAAACGTTTGCATTCTAGGCATTCAGACGCAGTCGGCTCTCTCTTTTATATCTCCCGCATCTGTTCTGATTATCTCTCTCTCTAAATGTGCGCAATGTTCCGAAGTGTGGCAGCCTGATGGCGGGGAATGAAAGGCACCGTCTAGCAGGCATGCTGTCTGTGCAATCTCATTCATTTAAGTGGAGGCCATCTTTCATTTTTGAACCAGAGATCTGGGGACGACACCCACACAAAAGAGAGAGATTCTTTTAAAGAATAGTTGTAGCAGGACACTTATTTCTGCAAAGTTTGTAGAAATGAGCTATAGACAGAAACAATATTTTTAGCCCTTCGGCAGAAGAAAAATCTCTTCCTGTCTGTGTGATGGCTTTTGAAACATCTCATGTTCAGTCGGTAGAGCACGAGGCTCTTAATCTCAGGGCCGTGGGTTCAAGCCCCGCATTGGGCAAAAGAATCATTGCAAGACTAGATTCTATGATTCTGTGGCTTCAGTTTTCTACTCTATCATCTATTGGCAAATGTTTGCTCATAAGCACCGTATATTTCGCTCTATAAGGTGCACCAGACCATAAGACGCACCTAGTTTTTGGAAGAGGAAAACAAGAAAAAATATATATTCTGAATCCCAGAAGCCAGGACACCAAGCAGGATCACAGCTCAGTGATCCCGCTTGCTGTCCTGGCTTATGGGATAGCCGCGCACAGCCTCTCCTGGGCAGCGGGATGAAGGCTCCTGTTGCCCGGGAGAGGCTGCGCACGGCTAAGGCTCCCCCAAGAGCCGCACTCCCTTTAAAGAGCGTGTGGAGCATGTGTGCGGCTCTTGGGGCTTTTCCCCGAGGAGGGAGAAGGGCAGCCGCACACATGTTTCTGTCTATAGCTCATTTCTACAAACTTTGCAGAGCCTCCCGCCTGCATTCGCTCCATAAGATGCACACACATTTCCCCTTACTTTTTAGGAGGGGAAAAGTGCGTCTTATAGAGCGAAAAATACGGTAAATGCTAAAACAAAAACAAAGGAGTTGAATGTTTGGAGAATGCAGCAGAAAAGTGATTTAGTACATTCCTTACACCATCAAACCCATTCTTGAGTTTGTGACTGATTAACTGCACTCATTTTTGGAAGGCTGTTCCCTTACTAAAAAAATTCCCAGTTTACAGTGCTTACTCTCCAGAAAAGTGCATATGGAACTTGTCAGGTGCTGTTGCAGTTGCTCGAGAGTAACCAGTCAGGACTCTGACCTGTCTTTTACAGGCTTTATTTGGGTGCAAACTATTTACAGTGAAGAGCGTCATAAGTTCATGTCTGGCTCAATCGCTAGCAGAATCCGGGAGTGGTCTGTTTTTGTACCTCTCCCAACATAAAAGTTTTGTCACCCCCAGTCTTTTCCGCCCCTCCCTGCGCCTCAGACTACTGCGCATGATGGGCGATGGCAAAGGCATGCTTCCCTCCTCTCCGGCTTGCTCAGGTGCGGTGTTAAGGCTCTCCCTAGCATCCCCTGGTCCCTGCACCTCTTCTTCATTGGAGGTGGGGCTTTCCTCCTCACCAGAAGAGGAACTGCTTCGCAAGATTTTCGGAAGCTCCCTGTAACACAACTGCCTTTCTATCTCTCGCCTCTGAGCCGATGGCAGTTCCCTGACATAACTGCCACTGAATTAAAATAATAATAATAATAATAATAATAATAATAATAATAATAATAATTTATTATTATACCCCGCCCATTTGGGCGGCTTCCAAAAAAATATTAAAATACTGTAATGCATCAAACATTAAAAGCTTCCCTAAACAGGGCTGCCTTCAGATGTCTTCTAAAAGTCTGGTAGTTGTTGTTCTCTTGGACATCTGGTGGGAGGGCGTTCCACAGGGAGGGCGCCACTACTGAGAAGGCCCTCTGCCTGGTTCCCTGTAGCTTTGCTTCTCGCAATGAGGGAACCGCCAGAAGGCCCTCGGCGCTGGACCTCAGTGTCCAGAACGATGGGGGTGGAGACGCTCCTTCAGGTCTACTGGGCCGAGGCTGTTTAGGGCTTTAAAGGTCAGCACCAACACTTTGAATTGTGCTGGAAACGTACTGGGAGCCAGTGTAGGTCTTTCAAGACCGGTGTTATATGGTCTCGGCGGCCGCTCCCAGTCACCAGTCTAGCTGCCACGTTCTGGATTAGTTGTAGTTTCCAGGTCACCTTCAAAGGTAGCCCCATGTAGAGCGCGTCGCAGTAGTCCAAGCGGGAGATAACCAGAGCATGCACCACTCTGGCGAGGCAGTCCGCAGGCAGATAGGGTCTCAGCCTTACGTACCAGGTGGAGCTGGTAAATAGCTGCCCTGGACACAGATTTGACCTGTGCCTCCATGGACAGCTGTGAGTCTTTGTTTTCTTTGTTTTAGTTGTTTGATCTATCAATTCAATTTGTATATTTTTAATGAATAAAACAATACTAAGAAGAAGAAAAGTCTGACACTTTTTTTTAGATTAAGAATAGTCTCAGCGTACATTCTCTTAGAAGAGGCATCCTTCCCTTTGTGAGAAAATGGGCGCTAAAAGTTTTTTTAACTGTGCCAGCCTGAAAGGGTTTGTCCAAAATGCTTGCAAAATGAATTCTAGAAATGCATCTTATTCTGCTGTCTGCTTGAGACGTGGAAAAGATTATCTTCTGTCAGGAGCTTCAGCCCATTGAGAACGACTTGATTAGTAAACGAAAGGGGTGAGATTTAGGTTATCATATCTTGGTTGAACACTTACAAAAGCAGTTGGGTGCTCTTTTGTGTCTTTGAAATTGGGAGGAATTGCAGAGATTTCCAGTAAATGAGATAATCAATGAATTTGCCAGAAGGTGTTCTACCTCAGCTTGCTTGAACAGGTGAGTCCGGCTTCCTGTAATGGAATCTCTTTTGACATCTCTCCAGTCCACAATCTGTTGTTGTTTAGTCATTTAGTCGTGTCTGACTCTTCGTGGCCCCATGGACCAGAGCACGCCAGGCACTCCTGTCTTCCACTGCCTCCCGCAGTTTAGTCAAACTCATGCTGGTAGCTTCGAGAACACTGTCCAACCATCTCGTCCTCTGTCGTCCCCTTCTCCTTGTGCCCTCCATCTTTCCCAACATCAGGGTCTTTTCCAGGGAGTCTTCTCTTCTCATGAGGTGGCCAAAGTATTGGAGCCTCAGCTTCACGATCTGTCCTTCCAGTGAGCACTCAGGGCTGATTTCCTTAACAATGGATAGGTTTGATCTTCCTGCTGTCCAGAGTCTCCTCCAGCACCATAATTCAAAAGCATCAATTCTTTGGCGATCAGCCTTCTTTATGGTCCAGCTCTCGCTTCCATACATCACTACTGGGAAAAACATAGCTTTTACTATATGGACCTTTGTTGGCAAGGTCCACAATCATAGAGAGTCACAGAATTGCAGGGTTAAAAGGGACCCCAAGGGTTCTCTAACCCCCTGCAATGCAGGAATCACAACTAAAGCATCCAGGACATATGACCATCAAACCTGACTTCTCGGGTGCCAGCTATCATAGCAAAAGCCAGATATTTTTAGGGGTTCATCATAACTCCTCCCTATTGCGGCAAATCTCACTTGTCTAGCTTAAAGAATCAACTGGATGTTACAGCTATTCTGAAACCATGAATGGCTCACATAAATGACTGACTGCAATTCTAAACCCACTCGCAGCGCAAGCCCTCCTGAACACGCAGAAACTTATTTCTGATTTAAAAATTTCAAGCATTTGTACTGCAGGTGTAAACAATTTTGCATATTGCAAAGCACCTCTCTAAGTACCTTTCCGATGCTTTAGAACTGGGGAAAGGCTTGCTCCCGTCTAGGCTGAATTAGTTCTCAGTCTCAACCTCTTAGCTCGCTTTATAAAGATCCCATGAAAAAGCTCTCTTTCTAATCTCTTTCAATAAATTTGGCACCTGGAGATTGTCGGTGTAGTAGCAACTCGGTGTGTAGAGTGGCGAGAAAAACGGAAAGAATCTCAGCCTCGCCATTTTATGAGACATTGAAAACAGACCATAGAAAATTGGGCTCAGCTACAAATAAAATCTTTTAGGTGTGTTTTAAGTGCAATATACAAAGCGACATTACGGACTTCTGGGGTGGCTCCATCGGCAATGACAGACTCCCTCTGAACTGGAGGGACTAGCTCTGCGGGAAACGGGTCTTCTCCACTACGGCGAAGCGGGGACCCTTTCAAAAATCACAGGCGGATGAAGCCTGTGACCATGGGACTCGGCGGGCACCTTTAGCGCCCCCCCAACTCGCTAAGGAACCCACTAACGGGCTCCGAAGTGAAGAGGGGGAAGTGGCGCGGTGCTGTGAGTCAACTGCTATTTCCGTGGAGCGAAGCCGCATAGCCGTTGCCGGAGAGCGCTGCCTTTATCCTGGGACAATTTGGACTCTAAAATAAGCACCCGTGAGTACTTAGACTTTGAACAACTGGACATTAGATGGGGACTTGCGAGCAGAAAGGAATTGGATCTTAAAAATCTATTTCAATTTGGTACGGAACGGGAAGGTCTAAACAGGAAGTCAGCCTTCCGTTCTTCTGTAGACAGAATAAAGCAAAGACAACGTAAATTAGAGCTCAGAAAATCGCTTTTAAAGGATTGGATTTCATCATTTAAAATTGTGGAACCCCCCTTCGACAGCAGGAGAAGAAGGGGGATCTTTTTGGACTGTTTAAAGTGAGTTTAAAGTAAAGCAACTTTCCTCCGTCCTGATCCTGGAGCGGGGTGTCAGGACTGACGTTTGAAGTTCATTGACCAGAGACAAACGTTTTTGACAGATAGCTAAAAGAAGAGAAACATAGTGATTCCACTGTTTCCTTCGCATTTCAAAGGAACAAATATTGACAAAGTATCTCAAAAGGGAAACTTTGTTGCAAGATCAAATAGAAGTTTTCCCCCTAGAGGGAGACTGTGAAACTGTAACCAACTCCAGGGAGCCGGCAGCTGTTTACAGATTATAATCGTGGGAATAGGCATTTGACCTTGCAGGACAATGTATTCAGAAGCTTTGTTGTGTGCTTTCTACAAAACAAATGCCCTACTGGAACAGTTACATGAGAAGGTGAATTTGATGACGACTTCGACTAGAAATTTTGAACAGGCAGTGGGAAATTTTGAACAGACAGTGGGAAAATATGTGGAGCCCACCCAGGAATTAAATCAGGAGTGTGTCCTGACAGAACAGGCCCAACAGGAATATGAGTTTTCGGATTTGACAAATGAACTTGGAAAAAGCCAGATTTGGAAAGAAAAAGTTTGGTTTGGCTTGGAAATGGGGGGCTGGATTGACCCCTATGCTGGGATGTTTGGACTTTTCAAATCTGGCAATGGGCCGTGAGATGTTTGGGATTGTGGGGGCTCTTAATTTTGGAGGGTCTTTGAAACATGCTTTTAAATACCATATGGAATTCAGTGCTGAATATGGAAAAGGGGCTGATCTGTCGA